TTCCCTTCCCTTCCCTTCCCTTCCCTTCCCTTCCCTTCCCTTCCCTTCCCTTTTCTTTTTTTCCCCTTCTTACATCTCTTTGGAATTTTTGTCATTGTTCTCTTTTGTTCGCATTGTTGTGGAAGTTGCAGTATTTTCATTTGGTCAAAATAAAAAGCAATGTCTAGTTTTGTATGGGCACCCAGTGAAGCTTCAATCAAAAGTTATGGTAGGTACGTGCCAACCAGCAGCAAGGCCTATCTTGGCAAGATTTCATTCTAGGGTCATCCACAGTGGGTGGGGTCAAAAAAGTCAGGATGTCAACCTCGACCACCTGATCAAAGTCCCACCCCTTTTTTGCATATGTCACACACAATATGGGCATAAAAAGGGGGCAGGGCTTCCATTGCACTTTTATACAGCCACCATCTTGATGTTTTTGACCTCCTGTGGACAGCCCTGGATCCCGAATAAATGAAATGCTTCTGACAATCCAGGGGTGGGATAAATGCTTAGTTTTTCCCTTGGGTAGAAGAAAGGAGTTGTATCTGTGGGCTGAGGATCAACAGGAAGTTGATACAATCCTGTGCTGTATTCCTTCCAGCTAAAAGCATGCTTGATTTCAGCTGAGCTTCTTTAATTTCCATGGATTTTCATGAGAAAATGAAACACACAGCACTGTTATCCAGGTGAAATCAGTGGAAATTAAAATGGCTGTTTCTGGACAGGCCACTAATATTTACAGATGTTTTTCACAAATAACTTCTAATAAACCCTAAAAAGCCCAGGTTTTAAGATCACCCAAGCAGGAGAAAAGCTGTAGCCTTGTGTTGTTGTGGTTCTGATCGTTGTTCTCGCTGCTTGCACGCACAGGTGCTTGAAGGACGAATGAAGCTGGAGTGCAAATGCCATGGCGTTTCTGGTTCCTGCACAACGAAGACTTGTTGGACTACGCTACCCAAATTCCGAGAGATTGGATATATTTTGAAAGAAAAATATAACGCCGCGGTGCAGGTGGAAGTGGTCCGGGCGAGCCGGCTTCGGCAGCCGACCTTCTTGAAGATCAAGCAGATCAGAAGCTACCAGAAGCCAATGGAGACCGACTTGGTCTACATCGATAAGTCACCGAATTACTGTGAAGAGGATGCGTCAACAGGCAGTGTGGGGACCCAGGGGAGGCTCTGCAACCGTACGTCCCTCGGGGCTGATGGGTGTGACATGATGTGCTGCGGAAGGGGTTACAACACTCACCAGTACACCAAGGTGTGGCAGTGCAACTGCAAATTCCACTGGTGCTGCTTTGTGAAATGCAACACCTGCAGTGAGCGGACAGAAGTGTTCACTTGCAAGTGACGGCCAGTGGAGCAACCTTAACATGGACGCAACCGCCACTCGGTAGTGTGGAACAAAATAACTACAGCATCATTTTGCACATCTTTCTTTCTTTCTTTCTTTCTTTCTTTCTTTCTTTCTTTCTTTCTTTCTTTCTTTCGTTCTTTCTTTCTTTCTTTCGTTCTTTCTTTCTTTCTTTCGTTCTTTCTTTCTTTCTTTCGTTCTTTCTTTCTTTCTTTCGTTCTTTCTTTCTTTCTTTCGTTCTTTCTTTCTTTCTTTCGTTCTTTCTTTCTTTCTTTCGTTCTTTCTTTCTTTCTTTCGTTCTTTCTTTCTTTCTTTCTTTCTTTCTTTCTTTCTTTCTTTCTTTCTTCTTCTTTCTTTCTTGGTGGGAAGGGGGTAGAACCAATCTCTTACTTGTTTCTTACTAACACAGTTGGAAGAACAATGCGTAATCTGCTGGCTAGAGTTGCTTTGACTCCATTAGCACAAGGGACCCTGGGACGGATTGACGGATTAGGATGACGTTGTTCAAGATGAGCATTTTTTCCTTTTGATCCCCCCCCACCCCCTGCAGTCTGAGGTGTTGTAGAGTTTTACTCTTAGATTAAGTTATGCATACAATGTGATAGACACGGATTCCAGGAGGTTATTTTCAAATTTAGAAGGCACATAAAAATGTGCAACAGAGACATTTTTTCCTATTAAAAAAAAAAAAGGACGAAAGAAAGAAAGAAAGAAAGAGGAAGTAAGATGTTAAGCACGAAACTAAGATTCCAATAGTGTTGCTCAAACACTTTTATTTCTGATAAAGAAAGGGAATAAAGTAGGGATAAAGGGCAGCAAATGCAATACGGGGTTGGGAGGAACCTCAATGATTGATTCATACATAAACTGAAAGAGGAAATTCTGACAGCTCCCAGTAACACTGGAACCTTTTTGAATGGACATTTCAGCAGGAAAAAGATTCTCTTATTTATGTTTTTAATATTATCAAAACTCTCTAAGCACTAACGGGTAGCCATGTCTTTACTCTGAACTAAATGTAAACTTACTGGAACTCCGACTTCCTCCACTTTCATTTTGGGTACGTGGTTCTCCCCGACATTTCTCAATGCTACTGATTTCATGGCACTCCACTGTTAAAAAGATTTCTGTCCTTGGGCCCAAAGGATTGCTTGGGGGAGAGGAAAACCAACTCGACTGTGCAAAATGGTGGTTAAAAAGGCTGGTGGCATGGCTTCTCACTTGTTTTGCTCTAGGAAGCTGGTGCAGAATAGCAGTAACACCATCCTTGCTGACGCTAGGCAAAGACAAGCAGGGACATCTACAAGGGGAGGGTTCAAAAAAGTCAAGATGGCAGTCCAGATGGCAGCCGTGGTCATGCGCCATCTTGGTGCCCCTGGAGACACACTAAGCTTATACAAATCCATGGCACGATTAGGGCTTTGGATTTTGCCTTTCCTGAAGGCCATCTCACTGTTTGGGCCACATCTCAAGGTCCATGTGGTCCAACTGGGACTCTGCCCAAAACTGTTACATGTACTCGAGTTTCTCTTCCCATCCTCTGAAAAGCACTGAAGACCTTTGTACATTATAGAGGCGTGAACTGGGGAGAAAGATCTTTGCATAACAGCTGCTTAAAACCTGAAACGAACCTAGTACTTATGAAGGCAGTTGATAACACTTCGATGGTGAGGGGAGAGAGCTGACGCCCCCAGCTTTCCTCTGTTTGTGGGCCGTGAATCACCACATTTGATGGGTTCTAGGGATGTGGAATGTCCCCATTGCACGTTATATTATGAGGATGATATAAGGGGTCAGAAACATCAAACCGCATGATTGATGTCCTGCCCCTTTTGGATATGGGATACGTCTCACGTAAAAAAGGGTCCAAGCTTCGATGGTGCCATGGTGGCCACAAACTTGATTTTTTTGACCCCGCTCTTCAGATGCCCATAACAAAGAGGTATATATTCCAAATCCCCCATCATGGAAACAGGGCCTTGTGCAAGATACGCCCCTGACTCATTGCTTAAACCCTTCTCACTAACTGCAGAGTCAATCTGGATCTTTTGAGGGACAGCTACTCCATGAATTGAATGGATCCTCTGGTGTCTTTCGGACACCACATTCCTTGCGATGATCCTTCTTCTTTTTCTCAGTCTCTGCCAGCAATCCCAGTAGGTATTGATAGGACGCAGAGCAAGTCCCCACACAATGGAACAATAACATCCAGTTGTGGCGAGGAATCTGCTGCAATCCCGAAGGTGCACGGAAAGACCTTCTCATCCGTTCTCCCGTGCACTTTGCTACAGCTGTGGTCGTGTGAGAAGAGCCCGTCTTTTTCTCCCCAAGTATGTAAACCCCAATTCAACATTCAGCCGCAAGTCATCAGTGGTGTGTAAGCATGTGTGAATTGCCCGTAACTCATATGAAAGGATTCGTTTTGCAGTGTTAGCATTATTTGGCAACAGCCTTTTCTTATTGTTTCATAATTTCCAGGTTTAGACAGGCTTTTTATTGGTTCTTTGGAAGAGATTAACATGCTAACCCGATGCCAGAAAGATAATGTAAACAGCAGTTGTTGAAGCGCATGCTACAGCTGCCAGTGACTCAGTAGCACAGTAGAACAAGCTAATACAAGGCTGGTGTATTAGTCTGAGTTATTTTTAGTGACACAATTAATCTAACTAATGTTGACAGCATTAAACCATCCTTTTGCTTCCCAAAAGACCTCTTTGTATATTGCTTTTTTTAAGTATATGCCTAAAACAATACAGCATGAAATACAAAGAGCACGTGCTTGTAAACATGTATGTTCTCCAAGGCAAGGGATGGAATTGGCAGTCAAACCTCAGTTTGCTACTACAGAATTGAAAGGGTGACATTAAACCAAATATTTTGTCTTGTCCAGGTAGGTGCTACTGAAGCTCCCTGCCCGGCATGGGTGTCTGCAGAGGGGAAAGGGTCCAAAAAGTCAGGATGGTGACCACCAATGCGTGGTTGAAGCCCCACTTCTTGTTTTACGTGTGAGAAAAGCAGTAGGGCTTCAATCACCCAGTTGCAGCTTCCATCTTGACTTTTTTGACATACACACACCCACACACCCCCCAAGTATAAGTGCAGATGGTTGTGTTGGAATCACTCAGAATACTTAGAATAATATCTTGTGGCTTCAAAGACGATCTGTGATTTTGGTCTTCATCTTCAATGATAGAATGCAGATCAGTGTTTTCCAACAATTAACTTAGTTCTTTGTGAACGTACAGTTAGATAAGCCAGCTGTGTCTATCCTTTCATCGCTGATCTGGACAATTTTGATCCTTTCTTTCCCAGATTTACGGAAGGTGCGGATCAGAGGGGGCATCTGGTGGGATGTCACACACAATACAGATGAAGCGAATGTGTTCATAGAAGAAAGGGAGCCAGCCTCAGGCCCAAATTTCCTCAAGTCTTTATCTGCGGCTCTCTGAGCCTTCCAAAAGTTGTTGCCAAATTTATTATTCCCGTCTGAAGAGGAAATTGCTGAATCAGAAAATAATCGTACTAATCGTAATTCATTTGAATTCCATTTAAATGTAACTCAACCTTTGCTTGGAGTGCAGCACCCGATATTTCATTCAGCACCCTTGCCACCCCGAGTTAGCTGGATAAGGCCAGTCACCATGTTTCACAAGGGAGAATGCTAGAATTGGAGGGGGCCTTGAGACCATCCAGTCGAGTGTTTCTCAACCTTGGCAACCTTAAGATGGGTGGACTTCAGCTCTCAGAAATGGAGCAAGCATGCTCTATCTATGGTCTCAAAGAGTCAACACAGACTACAGTATAACATTAGTCAGGGAATGTTCAGTGCACATCTGTGGGCAGCCATGATTCAGTGGACTGGCCACGGGGTCCAGATTCACACAAAATGCTAAGCCATAGTTTTTAAAAACATTGGCTTGAGTCACAGAACATCTTTGGCCCAAATCTTCAAGAAGATCCAGAATCTGAAATGATTTGCATGTCGTGTAGGAAGCTGTATCATGATCATGATACAACAATCCATGAAAATCCATGAGCAGGTCCAGAAGAGTAAAGGATAATATGAGTGTGATGACATCGTCGCACAAATGCTGCATATGTGTGCCAGATGTTGAAAAGCCAGCCTATCACAGCGGCATTCATGTGATGACATCACAGAAAGGAAAATATTGTACATCTGGCCTGGTGAAGAATGTCTCTTGGATCAAATAGTCATTTGCTAGACTTGATTTCATGCCACTTTTTATGTCACTGCTGTGTGGCAGAACAGGCCAGTGAAGTTTTAGCATTCTCAGCTGATAATTCAACAAATCTAGAAAACAAAATTTTAGAGATAAAATGTGAAGCTGTGTTGTGTCCCCCAAATGCAAGTTTGAGCGTTAGCACTAGTTCATGATTTTGGCACTCTTTGTAATCTCTCAGTTCCTAAATATTGAATTTTATTTCATTAACATCTAGCAAAACTACTCAAACATCAAATATTGAGACCAAAAGCACAACAAAATACTCAACATCTGGCAAATATTTCAATATTAAGGGACCGTTTTGCAAATATCTGCAGAACCCCTAATTACAAAAGTCACTAAGAGAAATTTTGGGGAGCAAATTCACTTTAGTGGCAGACCAAAGAAATATATTTCCCTTTCTTTTTTAGGCAATGAGGTTGCTCTCTTAACATGAGGGCTGTGCCATAGCAATTTTAATTCTAGATTCAAATGAGTTCATGCATAAAAATGCCGGTTCTGTTTGCAGAGTTACTGCGTTTCTAATGTTCTTCCATATGAATGCTGGAAATCCATTTATGAATCTGTGCCAACAGTTGGGGGCGCTTGCAGGAGAGGGTCAAAAAAGTCAAAGGGGCGTGGAAAAGGGGCAGGGCTTCAATGATGCAGTCGCCGCTGTCCTCTTTACTCTTTTGGCCTCGTTCTGCAGACACCTCTGTCTACAGCTCATTTGCAGGTCCAGGCTCAGGTCCTCTGAAGACATCTATCAGCAGA